TCCAGTCACGTCTTAAATTTTGAATGAATCCTCAAATGTAACCCGAGCTTCACTCGCTCTGACGACAGACAACCTAATTGATATCGAATTCCATATTCAAATGAAGAGTTCTATTTTCAAATAGTTCATTCGAAAACACTGATTTTCTTTTCTTTTGAAAGCGTTGTTTTATGCCAGCGTTCGAAATTAGAATAGAAAACGAAAAAGTTTTTAATGTACTGATTTGTGATGTGTTATTTTCTGACATTATAGCTGATGTTGGGTAAACAAAAACAAAAGATGCATTAGCATAGAACGATGATTAATCGACGAGCTGTCAGTCCATTGAAGACCAGGTCAGTTTGTTTATGAATGAACGAAGATAATAACGGATATTGCATCTCCCACGCACTATCCGAACAACTAGGTATACGACAATTTTGTAATGCGAAGAAAGTTTAAACAATGCAATTACACGGCATTGTTAAGTAATTGTTTATTGTGCTTTTACAGTTACTACGTTATAGTGTTAGATAATGTTAATTAAGATAACTAGCTTTATATTTATTAATAACCTGTGCGAAATTAGATTGGTTTGTAATTTTGTATAATACAAGTTGTCATGATGATTGTTATCAGTTAAAACCAATTAACTAAAAGAAATTCGGTAATATTTCTTTATGTAGAGTCGGTCTAAACCTAACTTATGACTCTAAGCATTTCAGAACATGCTTCTACGAGGAAAATTAGTGTTTCTGTGCTACAGAATGGAAAAAAATGTATTGGAGCATTGCAAAAAGGGAACCAAGAACTCCTTCGAATAATGAATACTTACTTACTCTATGATTTGACGTTGAATGAAACTTGGCTGTATCCTACACAAAACCGTGTTTTCTAAGTCACCAGCACTTACATAATCACCGCAATTACGAGGTAAATCGTTGCTTATTCCGAACGCCACCGCCGGGCGTCGAACCCGCTTCCGTTCGGTGATGAGTAGGGCTGTCTGCGCTTTTTTTGTTGGCTTGGCTATTAGCGAGTATTCTAGTATTTGGTCAGGACTTGGCTCTGGCAGTTGCCAAAGTAGTTACTTTAGCTAAAAGCGGTAAGTATAAGGCAATTTATAGAAGTAGAAACTTAGTCGTTTTCTTTATAGAATACCTCAGTTACTTATCATAGGAAAGAATTACAAATAGGTACATCATCTCGTCAGGTTAGTGGCTAATATTTAGCGATAACTAGCGACCCGCCCCTGCTTCGCTGCTCTATCTATTAAAAAACCGCATCAAAATCCGTTGCGTAGTTTTAAAGCTCTAAGCATTACATAGGGACAGACAGACAGGAAAGCGACTTTGTTTTATAATATGTAGTGATTAGGATCTGAAAAATCTAGCAACGACTTAAGATCTCTATTTAGATAGGTTGAAGTTTAATAAGTTCGGCATCATTGCAGATACATATTTACAATAACTGTGATTTGCACAGTAATCCTGTTTTGCCGCAATCAATCATCTTTATACTGTTTTTCCCAGCCCTGACAACATAATGTGTGGTGACCGGCATTGATAACGATCTTCTTTATTGTTCAAATTATTTGCTGCGGTTTTACTAGGCGTTGGGTCTACACTTCTACAGCTCGAGAACTTCGTGATATTCGTGATAAAAAATCCAGCTGAAAATTCCAGAAGCTTCTATGTAAATCTTTATGTATAGTTCGATACTTTGTATGCATCTGGTAATAATAACAGAATTTTACAACCAGTTTACTATAAAAGTACTTGAAAGCAAGTTCCGATATATTTTTAGGGTTTTGTTTACATTCCCACGTCAGCGCGTGTCGATAGCTTGACAACACTAACTATAAACTATACAGTCGAGCAAAGCAAAATCAGGCGATTATCAACCGTATTCACTGAAAGCTAAGAAACACATATTGGAATATGTGTGGCGCTACGTTGGTTTCTTTCATCACCATCACTTGTCAATCAGCCAGCCTCTCCTTTGAAACAGAAACAGAAAGTGTTATGGCCACGTAAACTACACGATAGTATCGTAGAGATTCCTTTACGCCATGTTTACACTAATCGGCCCTAAGAATCTACAAACTCCCGCCATTCTCGTAATTGGAACGCAACTGACATAACAAAGATCGCGACGGAAAACAGATGCGTTCTGCGATTAAAATTTATTATTTTTTTGTTTACGGCCAGCAGTAATAGTAAATGCAGTATTAGAATGAAAAAACAAATGATATAAAATGGCCATTTTGTTAACTAAATTGTTCAGCAGCGTCAAATACATAGTTCGTGACACTCAAATTGGCCATAAAGTTGACAACACAACCAAAGATGTACTTATTGCATACTTTTTGGCTACTTTGGGTGTCACGAACTTTTTGACACTGATACTGTACACCAGCCTTAGGAATCTAGCAATAGAAATATTGCTAATGGATCGTTTTAAACAGTTTAATTGTAAGTCATTTTTAAGCAACAAGAGTAGCATATCCTGTTTAATAACTATAATTTATCAGTTTTACAAAGTAATGGGCGCGCAACGGAAACGTTAAATGAATTGTAACACAAAACAATAATTGTGAGGCAAAAATAACTTGTGTTTACGTAAAGCGGAGAGTATGGGCCTTAACATAATACAGGAGCAGTTGCTGACAAGCAATTAAAACGTTATTTATTGTCTTCATTCGTTTTGATGATGAACGAAATAATTAATTGTGAAATTAAGTGTTTTTTAGCTAATTGCGTTCTCAAATGGTAGGTATTGTTAAAAATAACCTCAAGAACAGAAGTAACAAGGTTTGTAACCTTGTTTGGTACATTATGAGCGTATAAGGAATAAAATGTTATCTAATTACTAGTCAAGCTCCCGCCCACGGGGTGGTTCAGAGATAAGTTGCATCACGACACCCACACGGACAGACAGACAAACGGGCAACCTTCGTAGATCGGTAGATTCGCTGGACCTTGACAAATATACCTATTAAATTAATAGTCAGCATTTGTTATGTAACTACAATATGTATTGGTATTTTAAATTCATGTAGTCCTAAAGTTATTATGTATTCCCAAATGCTACCTGTAGCGACATCTGTCGGCGACGAGTTGAAACTGTCTCTAGAAAATTCAAGGAAACATGACTTTTCATGTGAATGAAAATTCTGAATTGTTTCTGCTTAATTTGTCGAGATAGTAAATTCGTTAACTGAGTTTTCTTTACATTTTTGGTGATGATTACAAAACTTCATAATCTGTCTCACAAGGAAGCACTTGTGAAATGAATGTCTAGGATCTAAGGACAGTTGTATTGAGTAATTAAACTATTAATAACCAAACTCCTTGTTGACACAAGCCACCTACTGAAATCCGTGATTAAATGAATTAAGCATATAAATAAATTAGCAACCACTTTAATGTTATTTCAAATCCTGCTTGTGTGGGTGTGGGAGCTACCCACCTGCCTGCGTCTGATAGGTAAATTAACTTTAATTGCATTTTGCAACCTTTTTCAATGATCATTCGCTGGCCCAAGATTTATTACTTCATTTATCGATACAATGATCGTGTCTCTATGGCTAATGGTCCCTGACGTCTTCTAATCTTATCGTCCGTGTAACTGGCGGAGTGGTTAACATCAACTCGAAGCCAATGATATCTTACAAATGGCAGAGTAACATCCTCATTTTCTAACACTCCTTTTGCCGCAGCAGCCGTTCGCGCCACAAAGTCCTAACCGCCGTCTAAGTTCGGAAACCAGCGCCGTTCCGATCCTGCGCTGTTTACGATACAACGAGTTCTATAATTGAACGATGCGGGAGAGTTCAACACATCGCGGTCCATCTTTTTAGAATACGACACAAATAACATTCTATATTTGAAAATTTAAACATCACCAACTTTGAGAGCACCTATGTTTGCCCACCAAAACACGCAACTTTCAGATTTATCCGTCAGTTTTAGGGGTTATAGTTCTGTATCGCCGTTGATAGAACTAGGTGCGTTGTTTTGCTTATGGAATATAGATTCTGAGGTGGTACGGTTATGCAGCAGCCATGCCGATGACCACATGCATCAATGTTTGTAAATAGAACGCTGCGTACTACGCGCAGCATTTGATCTTTCACGCTAACGAAATGTGTCACATCCAACGCTTGTTCCCTGAGCTGTTACACAAACGACCCGACCAAGACTTAGCGATGGAGAATAAACAGACACGTGTCGCCCTAATTATACTAAAGCGTTGTTTGTTATTCTCCGCTCATAGTAAAAGGCGTTTTGTGACTGGTGACAACTCCGCTAGTAGATGCCGTGGATGTTTCAAATCTTAATTCAACAGTTTGTTTACAAACATCATTTGTTTATCTTAATTATGTAGTCAACTATCACATGCCATTCATTTATAGTGCGTCGATTTCGGAGAATTAGCTGGTCTATGTGAAGGGAACTCGTTCAAAAGAATCTAACAAGTGTGTTTGCTCATTCCATTATCCAGCTGGTTTGGGAAGTGAAAAATCACGCTTATCTCGACATACTAGGGAGCGGTGGTCCACGAGCCATCTGTTCGTTGCACCCATAAAGATAACGAAGGCGTACCTACAAACGGGAACGCATTCATTTCATATCAGGCCCTTCTAGTGAACACTCCTGCGTCCAATTTATTACGCGCGAAAAACCAGCGGCCATTTTGCATATTTCCGAACGATGTGTTCCATATTCGAGCGCACGGTGCGTACAGCTCACGCTTGTTTTATATTCTCTTTTTGAGATGTGGTTTATTTTTAATCGCGTTGTCCTATTTAATCCGTTATTCCACGCAGCCAGCGCCTCAATCAGTCTTAGCGGCAACCGTTGCTTTTGACGTTGTGTTTCTTGTTCTATATTACTTAAAAAAATCAAAATGATAAAGTTTATAATTTCTAAAATCAAAAAGGTTGTTAGATATTATTTAATCGTGACATTTTAGTGTTTTTGTGTGCAGTGTTTACAATGTTGGTATCTTTGTTCCAGATATACCCAGATCCAGAGTCGGAGAAGGCGATTATGGGATCTGTGGTGTACTGCATCCATCACAAGGAAGGATGCCAGTGGTCCGACGAACTACGCAAATTGAAGGTACTTTATCTTTGAATCGTAAACATTTATATGCGTAAATAGATAAGTAGTGGGCGTGCAATCGATCATTTTGTGTGCTGATGGCTGACACGTCACGTCCGACATATTTCGTTATCTGTGACACCTTTTATTCGAATACGTTACGCACGTACTTTCCTGGATAGCCATGTTTGTTTAATGAGTTTATATTAATGTCAAATAGATAGCCGGTTATACTCGTAAGTTATCGCCATTTGTTATTTTTATTTGATTAACACATTCTTCTAGGTACTTTCGTTTCTTATTTACTGTAGTAAAGTGATTGTTGTTCACTGTAGACAAAATAAATATTCCATTAATCTAAATATTCCTATTATCATCGACATTGACAACTTTATTAATAAATTTATCAGAATTTAACTGATTAAGATTAACGAAAACGGCGATAAATGAAAATACCACACGGCATTAATTAATTGGTCAAGGACATCTAAATAATCCAGATGATCTTGTTCCAAGAAATCGCGTTTGCTGTAATTCCTGGCTTCCGCATTTTAAAAGTAAAAAAATATGACGGATAATTTGTGAAGGGTAAATACCTACTTAATTAAAAAAATCAATTCATCACACTTAAAGTTTCATAAATTAAAAGGAAATCGTCGTAAACGTGAATAAGTAACGCACAAGAGAAAGACGAAGTTATGTAGTCGAATTTACACATTATATGCTTTCCCTGTGATGACTCTGTGGCATCGACCAACCCTTTACGAATACTACTAAAATTTTCCCGCACAAAAAATGTCTAGCCGCGATTTCTTACGTTGTTGCACTAATCCCCAACGTATCCCATCAATGGTTTGTGAACTTTCTTCCACGAAAAGTATTAACCCAATTTCTATTCCCATGCGCAGGCGCACCTCAACACGTGCAAGCACGACGCGGTGCTATGCGCGGCGCAGTGCGGGGCCATGATCCCTCGCGTGCTGATGCAGGACCACCTGCGGTACACCTGCCCGCGGCGCCGCGCCAACTGCGAGCACTGTCATAAGGAGTTCTCGGGGAGCGCTCTTGAGGTGGGTGTACTTTGCAGCAGATTTTGTTTGTTGTTGGTAAATTGGAGGGCCATGTTTCTTACAGTGGAGACCTATTGTCCTGATGATGATCATGACGATGTACTCTCTTCTTCTTTCTTTCTACCTTGTCCTTAAAAGGACCGATAGTGTATCAAGAAGTCTATAACGCGTAATTATGTTGCTGTCACGCTCGCACACTCATTGCGGGCGCCCGTCGCACAGTCGCGACAGCAATTTAATTACGCGCGAGCGATAAGGATGGGTAGCTTGGGGTCATTGGACAAAATTCTACGTGCTCCCGGACCAGACTATAGATAGTTGGCAATCAAAGAGAGTTCAAATGCTTGGCTATTCGAATGACCTTGAATTTCAATCCAGAACCTGAAGGGTATCTTTAGGGTTAAAAGTTTACGTGCTCTTTAAAAACTTCTGTTCAAAACTGGGGTTTTAACAAAAGTTTCTATTGTCTAGTTCTTCTGTCACCCAGTTTATTTTGCAACTCCATATAAATTTCCCTATTCGAATTCCAGGAGCACCAAGGCAACTGCGGACACGAGCCGGTCTACTGCGAGAACAAGTGCGGAGCCAAGGTCCAGAGGCGCCACACGCAGCAGCATATCCAGCAGCACTGCAGCAAGAGGCTGGTGCCTTGCAGGCATTGCGGGCAGAGGTATACACAGGTAAGAACTTCGTACTATCGTGTAGGTACTATGTTTCCAGGAACTTAGAAGACATCATTAGCTCATATACTGTCATAGTAACGGTTCTTCTTTTCCTTTTTTGATGGCAATAATTTTTGAGTCGTTATGCTGGAAGGGACATAGAAGACATTATTTTAGCTCTTAATTCTGGATTTCTGGAAGANTCTTCAAGGTTCTTCTTCTTTTCCTTTTTGATGGCAAAAATTTGAAGTCATTAAAGGGCTGTATTTCGAGGAACGGTGCTTAAAACTTCGGTTTTTCATCAATAAAATACTGTTTACGAGATATACCTATACCGTTTCTTTCGTCGGGAAATTGCATACTGAACAACATTACCTAAAGCACCCGATTCCATGTTCTTTACTTCATGGCAAATTATTGTATCCAAAGCGGGTAATCACATTCGAGAAGCTTTTTGTACAGAGCATTCCAAAACAAGAATCTGAGCTGAGGAAACGGAAGTACCTAAATACCGAATTCGCAAATACCTATCGCATGAGTAACGCTGTGTGCATTTTTTGCTCGTGATAAAAAATGTAATTCGGAAACTCAGATCAGCTACGTTGTATTTTTCTTACAAATCCAGCTAAATACGGCTTGGATACCAATAAAAACATAATCACTGAAGGTCAAATTAGTCTCGGGGTTAAACTGTCCCACAATTTCAGGTGGCTCTCAATTAGCTGCTCGTTATTTCTCTTAACACCTCTTCCCCAGTAGTCTACGGGTTAAAACCAGAGTAAATACAAATGAGTAGGTCATCTTCATGAAACGCACCGAGCGCGGTTTGTATGTGAGCGCGCCAATACGTATGCGGCGCGCACGCACGCACTGACAAAATTCGGCGTAACACCCTGCTAATCCACGCTAAATTAAACCCAACCCCCATTCGTCCATTTATTAACCCTTCTCCCTTCCCTCAGGACACAGTAACCGCGCACGGGGCAACTTGCGCGCGCGCACCCGTCCCGTGCCCGCAGCGGTGCGCGGCCGCGCCCGTGCCGCGCGATGAGTTAGACGCGCACCTGCGCGATCACTGCGCGGCCGCTGGCGTCGCGTGCGCGTTCAGAGACGCCGGGTGCAGGTTTAAGGTGAGCATTTTTAATGGATTTCTTTATTGGCAAGTGCTTTAATCTATGGGATATAAAACATTAAGAATAGATTCAATTTTGTGGTGTGCTAATATTGAAACTTGATCTGCAACGGACCAACATCTCCGCTCAGGCGAAGTGCCACCTTTTTCCGTGGGACGAAGTGTTTTTCCGTGGGATGAAGTGTTTTTCCGTGGCAACTGGCAAGGCAACTAAACCTCTTTATGAGGTTTATTTTCTGCTAATATCGGTCTTATACCTTTTCATCATTTTGCTATTTTATACATTTTCTGCCATGTTAAGTACTTAGTTGCCAAATGCCTTGTTAATTTGTCAGTAAAAAACACATCATTAATCACGTAGATCTTCTCCTTTCTTATTCAGCTGGAAAGTTTTACATTCTCCCACATGCATCATTGTAATAAGTTAAATCTTCAATAATTACTAACGATTCCTTTTCCTCCTCCAGGGCACAAGACAAGCTCTCGACAGGCATACAGAAGACAGCTGCCAGCAACACCTTGCCCTCGTCTCCGCTTTAGCCACAAGACAAGCCAGACAGCTGGAGTCCCTCCGAGCAGCAGTGGCACGACTCTCAGTCAACTGCTCTGGCGCACTCGTCTGGAGGATAACGGACTGGGCTGCCAAGATGGCGGAGGCGAAATGCAAAGATGGCGTCGAACTCCTGTCACCCATGTTCTACACAAGCCAGCATGGATACAAATTGCAGGTACGTGTTTGCATTGAAAACGATATTTACGAGTATGACCCCACGAAAAATCCGCCTAGCACCTGAAACTGATGCTTTAAATTAAAGTTGCTCTCGTGTGAAAATAGGAAACTATAAATAAATCGCGTAATGTCTGACCCAATTCCAACAGTAATAAAATAGAAAATAATGAAACCGATGGATCGCATTTTGATGATTCTGTTAAGCTATTGAGTTTGCAAAATAGGTGCTAAACAATATAATAAACTAAAAGCTAAAATTAAAAAATGATTATAAAAATGTGTTCTGATCCCATTTGAAATGCAAATTCTCATCCGTTGTTTTTTTACATGCAAACATTTCCATTTTGTCCACAAATTGGCGATTCGTTCCCGGATAACTGAGCCTTTTGTTAGTAAACAGAGGCGTTACGGCGTGGCGAATAATAACCGGTGACTAACCGTAGTAGCGTGGACCGAATTAGACGTTTACTCACGTGCCAACATCGGTTTTATATCGTTAATCCCATCTTTGCGAGTCATAATACTGTCAGTGTCTTCTTTAGCCGACTTGTGACTTTCAAAACATTGTCATTTGTCTTTGTTGATGATTTTTTGAAGTTTTTAGGGTTCCGTAGCCAAAATGGCAAAAACGGAACCCTTATAGTTTCGTCATGTCCGTCTGTCCGTNAAAAAATTCGGCGTAACACCCCGCTAATCCACGCTAAATTAAACCCAACCCCCATTCATCATTATTAACCGATTGAGTCCCAGGATGGCATTAATTAATGTCATAACAATTGATTATCTATTGTGTCTAGATTCGCGGAGCTTGAAGGATTAACCCATTTCCTTCCCTCAGGACACAGTAACCGCGCACGGGGCGACTTGCGCGCGCGCACCCGTCCCGTGCCCGCAGCGGTGCGCGGCCGCGCCCGTGCCGCGAGATGAGTTAGACGCGCATTTGCGCGACCACTGCGCGGCCGCTGGCGTCGCGTGCGCGTTCAGAGACGCCGGGTGCAGGTTTAAGGTGAGCATTGTTTAATGGGTTTCTTTATTGGCAAGCTTAAGAGCAAGGCACTAAGGTTTGATATACAGGGTGTCCCATAAAGAGCGTGTCAAACTTAAGGAGATTGACCATATCGTCTCCTTAAGTTTGGCACGCACTTTGGGACATAAAAAGCGCCTGTATAAACTTCACCAACTTTTCTGTTCACGCGAAGTGCCACCTTTTTTCCGTGGCAACTGGCGACCAAACCTCTTCATGAGCTTTTATTTCTGCCAATGTCAAGTGAACGGCCGGCAGTTCGTTTTATACATTTTTGGACATATTAAATAGTTTCCAAATGCCTTGTTAATCTGTCAGAAAAAACAGATCTTTTTTTCTTTTTTCAACTGGCAAGCTTTACATTTTCCGACATTTATTTAATTTGTATTGTAATAAGTTAAATCGTCAATAATTACTAACGATTCCTTTTCCTTCTCCAGGGCACAAGACAAGCTCTCGACAGGCATACAGAAGAAAGCTGCCAACAACACCTTGCCCTCGTCTCCGCTTTAGCCACAAGACAAGCCAGGCAGCTGGAGTCCCTGCGAGCAGCAGTAGCGCGTCTCTCAGTCAACTGCTCCGGCGCACTCGTCTGGAGGATAACGGACTGGGCGGCCAAAATGGCGGAGGCGAAATGCAAAGATGGCGTCGAACTCCTGTCACCCATGTTTTACACAAGCCAGCATGGATACAAATTGCAGGTACGTGTTTGCATTGAAAACAATATTTGTTTTATTACCCCACGAAAAATCCCTGAAACTGATGTACTGAATGAAAGTTGCTCTCGTGTGAAAATAGGAAACTATAAATAAATCGCGTAATGTCTGACCCAATTCTAAGAGTAATAAAATAGAAAATAATAAAACCGATGGATCGCATTTTGATGTTTCTATTATGCTTTTGAGTTTGCAAAATAGATGTTAAACAATAAACTAAAAGTTGCTGAAAACGGACTAAAATTATCACAGAATGATTATAAAATTGTGTTCTGATCCCATTTGAAATGCAAATTCTCATCCGTTGTTTTTTGACATGCAAACATTTCCATTTTGTCCACAAATTGGCGATTCGTTCCCGGATAACTGTGCCTTTTGTTAGTAAACAGAGGCGTTACGGCGTGGCGAATAATAACCGGTGACTAACCGTAGTAGCGTGGACCGAATTAGACGTTTACTCACGTGCCAACATCGGTTTTATATCGTTAATCCCATCTTTGCGAGTCATAATACTGTCAGTGTCTTCTTTAGCCGACTTGTGACTTTCAAAACATTGTCATTTGTCTTTGTTGATGATCTTTTGAAGTTTTGTTACTTGTTATCGATGTTTTAAAAGGTTTTTTTTTCTCCAGGCGTCTCTATTCCTGAACGGCAACGGAGCTGGCGAGGGAACCCACATGTCGGTCTACATCAAGATTCTGCCAGGAGAGTACGACGCTCTACTCCGCTGGCCTTTCTCCCACACCGTATCCTTCACACTCTTCGACCAGAGCTCGAGTCCCGACCGCGCCTGCAATATCGTGGAGAGCTTCGTCCCTGACCCCACGTGGAAGAACTTCCAAAGACCATCCAAGGAACCTGACGCACTAGGCTTCGGCTTCCCTAGATTCGTCTCCCACGAAATGCTCAAGAAAAGGAACTTCGTCAAAGATGACGTCATGTTCCTCAGGGTCAAAGTAGACCCAAGCAAAATCGTCGCCGTATAATCTAGATCTGTAATCACTCCAAATATTGACTGCCATTTTCTCTGGACGTTAGGTTACGAATTCTGTTCATACCCAATTTTGTGCTCTTAGGGAAAGCTAGAGGAAACTAATTAGGTTCTAAGTTTTAAACTAAAGATAACTTACCAATAAGTTAGTAATCGGCTGACTTCAGCGCACAAGAACTAAGAACAGTCATTGTTATCTAGTATTAAGTAATTTAAAAGTCATAGATCGTAAGTTGTACATAGTGATTTCTTAAGATACTTTGATGATAGTTGTATAAATTGTAAATAGTTAAGTTTAGACGCGCATACGCTGCATTGTTATCCTTTCACTGAAGATCTCTTGAGTTTCATTGCCGCCAGAAGAACGTAACAATCTGAGCATTGTTTCAAAGACCGCACTATCTAATGCTTCATCAGCAGAGCAGTGAGAGTTGCTTAACAAGTTTCGACTCAATTTCTTGAAAATTAGGAGTTAAGTTACTTTAGCTGCGCTCCGTACACCGACATGCGTTCTAAACCGTGCCATATTTAAAACTAAAGTAAGATACACACATTTTTATAGGGTACTGCAAAAACTGTGTGTAATTTAGTTAAAACAGTAGTTCAAACGCGTTTTTGGTTGCCTTGTCAAAGTAAAGTTAAAGGCTCTTTGAAAAATGCTTTGAACGGTTCATTAACATAGACTTACACTTTGAGACATGTTTAGTTTTGTTATTCGGCAGATCTTTGTAAATACTCTCTGTTTGCGAGTTAATTTATCAAAAAGTTTTTGTTGAAATTTATTGTAAATATTTTCTTTTCAAGAGCACTATATTTGTACATGTACATAGACGTTTAAAATATAAAGAGGAAGATGCTTTTCATATCTGTTTACAAGCTGGAGTTAGACCAAAGTGTTTTGATGACTTTGCACAAAATCGAAAAAAAATCCATTTGTACATTCACTTTGCAAAGTTGATCAACATAAATGTATAACACGGCTAAAGCTGTATGTAATTATGTTTTTGTATTACGCGAAATATGTTAGACATATACTATGTAAGCTTGTTTTCGAAATGGTCTCGTGTGTGTTTTCTATTTTAGACTTTAAAACATGCCTAGTAAAGTACATTAATTAAAAAATATTTCTTATTTTACAACGAAAAGTTAAGACAATTTTTATGTGTATGTGAAAAAATTAACAACATTTTGATGATGTTATCTTCCTGAAGGCTCAGATCTCTTAAACGCTTTTAATGTATTAAATCTCAATGTAAAACAACATTCCAGTTTAAAAACATAATTTTAAGTCTGGCTTTCACTAATCTTTAACAGACTAAAATATGAGAACAACTAAAAATAAAAACATTAGTGTTTAGTAATACCAGACTTTTAAAATGCAAAGTTAGTATTTTAATCTCGTGTCATCTTTTAAATTAGTAATTTACTTTGTTCTTTGCTTTACTTATATGCAATTTTGTCTATAATTACCTAACTAGATATCGCAATCTAGATTTTAAGTACCTTAAAATAATGAAGAGACTAACGAATTTTAGTATAGTCTAGAATAGCTAAGTTAGGATGCGTTACGCAATAGTATTTAGTGATTTTGTAAATGTTTTAGATATAAGATCAAAATATATTGTTCTTGAGACAAATAATTTGAGATTTTTATTTTTATAGCATCCTTTTTGGACATTTACCCTTAATGTGGCTCGAGTTGCCAATTCAAATGAAAAATATAAGAAAATAGTTAATAATAATATGATATTATCTTAATTAATTGAGTATTGAAGACCTACTTTCTTTACCTAGATATCATTTGTAATAAACAGAATAATAGGTCAAAACAATTATCAAAAGTTATAGGCTATTAAGATAGCTCAAAGCAATAAAAGCTAGAATTAATTGGGAATACTATTGTTATGGACACAATAAATAATATTATTCTGTTGATTAAAACAATTATCATAAGGAATTTAATTATTATTAAATTAGACAACAAATAATTTTAACAGAGGTTTATTGAATATCTAAATTAGGTAGTTTGAATGTGGAAGTTTTTCGCAGTATAGGTTTCGTAATTTCAATTCGGACATTTGCTTAGATTTTAATCTGACAAATAGTTTATGTATATTAACTCTTTTTTATAGATGCTTTTAACTATTGGATAGTATAAAAAACAATGTAGAAAATATTCAAACAATCCAAAAGGGCATAAAGTTTTTTCTTTGAGCAGAAAAGGCACTTAATTTTAATTCTTCATACAAAAATTCATTATCTAGCTAGCTACTTAGAAAATAAAGTAGGTAAATCTAACTTATCTAGATGTTTTGTGAGCTTCCCGATTGACTGAATGTTGAGGTGTTCAAACTGGCTGTTGCAGGTCTCTTTGACGTCTGAAATCATAAAAAAAGGATATTGTTAAATACATGCGATCTTGGTGAGATATAGGTACAATAGGCTAGTTTCCTAAAAAAATTTTTTTAGTCCGTAATGTTTAATATCAAAAAATATTGGACACATATATTTTTATTTGTTATGGTGCGTTGAAGTTCCCTTTTATGCACGCATTGACGTCACGGGCCTCTTCTTATGAACTTTGGCGCGCTTTATCTCTTTAAATTTTCATTAGTTTGAAAAAGTGAAAAATACGTGTAGAGTATTTTTTGATAAGTTAACTGACGGACTAATTAAAACTCTTGCTTTTTGACCCAGGAAACATCCCTATTATACGTGAAGTAAATGAATTTAAAATTTAAAATAATGAGGGTTTTCACGTATGAAAGATCCGCTAGATGGCGGGACGTGGATGTGGGGTCTGACTGCTGCGTGATTGGTGGATTTTGACATATCTGTCAATGTCATGTCAAAAATAACCAATCATGCAGCATTTGGACCTCGCGTCTACGTATTGCCATCTGGCAGAATTTTCATACGCGAAATTTTGCAAACCCTCATTATTTTAAATTTTATTTATACATTTCAATGCATATTACTCAAAATATTAGTTAATTAACAGTAATATTGTGGCTTTTCCCTAGTGGGATAAATTAAGATAGAGATCTCACAAGTTAAGTTTCATTCTCACAAGTAAAATATGTTTGATATTCATCAACCAAGTGAAAATTTTACAATCTTGTGAATAAAACATAAGATGCATTTCTAGTATCAACATTTGACACTTACCGTTTTAATTCTGTACAAATCATCCATCGCAGATGGTAATAAAGGTTTCACTGAATTGATTTCCATCAGTGTAAGGTGGTCCAGCCGACCGTAACTTCCTCCGGACTTCATCAGCGCGTCCATTGAAGTCCTTAGTTTAGACATCCGTATGTCCCAAATGTCTTTGATGACGGTCTTGATTTCTGATGAGTTAGGAATGTCTTCGGCTGCTACACCAAGTATGAGTTTAGCTTCAACCATGTAATGTTCATTTGGCATTTTTGTGAAAAATCTAGAATTAGAAACATAACAATTAGATACTAGATTGAACTCTAATAAGATATTATGAACTATAAGTTAGTTATTACTATTTGAATGAGTTACTCGTTTAATTTGACTTATTGGGATAATTATTGATCAACTTCGTGTTGTATTAGAAGTTTCAGGGCTGAGTAAATTTAATTTAAACTAAGGTAATAAATAAAAACTATGCTAATAAGGTATCAAAGCTGTTACCTTGAACGCTTCTCTTCCTCCTTAATATTTTCTAATGCATCGAGTTCCATCCATTCGGGGGGCACGATGCGACACTTTTGTTTTTGTTTCAACATTATAGCTAGCCACAGGGGCACGTTTAGGGGCAAACCAGCCCGAAATGGTCCAAATTCACCGCATATCAAGTAAATTTTGTCGTAAGAAAAGTTTGGTATTACACTCACTATCCTATTCTCGCCCAAAAACTCAATTTCATAAGGGTCCATGGTAGCTCACTATAAGAGAGTTAAATTACCTACTTATTTTACGACAGAAAATCACAAAAACACACAAAAATCACTCATGTTTTCGTCCCACATACAACACGAGAATTTTTGACGTTCAATGTCAAATATTGGCTTTGGCGCGAAAACTGATACGTTGCGTTCAGAAATAAAATTAATTAGTTTGTAATTATGGGATAAAAATGTAAGACAATCCAATAGTCAATATTCTAATAAAAGTAAAAATTTACTGTATGACATATTTTTTTCAAAAAATTATACAAAAACGTAGATTTTTTAATTTTTATGATTGTACTGCTAACGCCATCTACTAATCATTTGATGGACTTTAACAGAAAGAAGAAAACTCCAACCGGACATACTTTTTCCTCTGATTTAGTTATAAAAATAGTTGATAGATGGCAGGATACAAAACTTTTTGAATAGTTTCATTAAAAAAGGTTGCATTCTATCTACTGTAAATTGAAAAAGTTAATTTAATGAATATTTCAATGAACAGAAGGAATACAAAATTATGATTATTATTGTTAATGTATAAATTAAGTAACTAGTAGCTGAAAGAAAATACCTACTTGCTTGAGCGCCAAGGCATCGACAGAATCGATGCAAATCGCTTTGGCAAAGTGCAAACTCTTAATTACTGGCAGTAAATTAGGGCGGTTGACAATGTCTCAGACGGCGATATTTATGGCAAGTCTCGACGGGATGGCTCGGGCTCTGCCCCCGCCACCCTGTTTGTATAACAATGACTTTTGAATGTAAAAAGGTTCCAAATTCCAATCAAGTAAGTTAGGTATTAAAACTGTGACTCGTGTTATCTTTCGTTTTAATTACCTACGCTTTTTTGAGGAAGGTTTAAGGCAATAACAACAAAAAAGGCTTTTGCTCTTACCTCCTAGGTACTTACTTACATATCGAAACGCGTAGAATGTAGGCTAGCAAGTAGTATAAATTAATGTTTATCCTTAATCGAATGTAAAATCAGGTTACCTATCTTGTACCTACTTGCTCATGTTCTAAGGTTATAAAGAATTCCAGTAACTTATGGAGTTTTGGCGGATTCGATTTCGATCAAAAAGTGCATTTTGTCTAGGGGGCGGTACACCTACTGTCGATACCTGACTCTATTTTTATTTTATGTATACCTATACCTAATTTACATAACTTAAGTATTGTATTCGGTAGGTATCTTGGTATGAAAAACATCCACCCACTACAAATAAACTTCCCACCCCGGCAAATAAATTACAAATCTGTCTGCACGAGCGAAAAAACACATTGTCTCCTCTCAGATGTCTCTCCTTAAATCTGCATACAAATTCGTGAGATCGCGCAAATTCACGGAGTCATTTAAAACCCATTCCGTTTGTAGGGAAAACGGTGTTTTTTTGCCCATAAATATGTCGCGCCTTGACGCGTCGCACAGCGACATCTAGCGCCGAGCGGGTTAGTATACAAGTCACGCTCGCCCGCGATAGATGGCGCTACGTCACTCAAATCGGGGTCCCTTGAGAATTTCTTTTCCGAGTTTGCTACTTTAACTTCCGTTTCCTCTTACTTTTATTACTTTTAGTATTAGAAGATATTAGTGGATTGGAATAATATTACAGCTAAATAAACCTTTTATTAACTATACCAAGAAGGCAAATGTGCTAAATTTCAATAGTTTTTAGAGAAGTAGAAGTAGAAGTTAGGTTTTATTTACAGACAGACTAGGTTATTACGACTTACTAATAATGTTATAGGTAAATTTTGGTTATCTTATTATGGAAAATGCTAAAAGTATTCTAAAAGCTTAACAATTAACTTCTAAGGAATAATACCTACTATCTCACTCTAATAATATCAAATTAATCAAACAGTTTGAACAATATTGTCACTACCTACTAATTTCTGTAAAATTTTCAGCTATAGATTTTAGATAAAGCAAAGGTAGGTAAGTAGATTTCGGATTTCAAAAAGTAAGTTTGAAGTGAATTATTATAATTACCACTGGCCTTTGCCGGTGCAAAGTTTTCGAAGTAACAATCTTTGTAGTCAGCGATTGCAAACATTTGGTATTATGAGACCTATTAATTAATGGTTAATAAGTAGCTTAATTAATGGTTAAAATGTACTGGGGAATAATATATATATATATAGGAAGGAATACAATAATTTCAAAACATATTATTTTTGTGAAGACATTAAAAACCATAACGGATTCTATAATTTTCTTGAAATATCTAACTGCAGGTATTCATTAGACAGGCAGCAAACATATCATAAACAAGAAGCGAATTAGATTTTATTAGCTAGATATTTCTCAACTAAGTAACATTTAAATTGTTTAATCAAAAGTTGCTTTTAAGTAGCAAAAGCCTGAACATTTTGAGATGAGTTTTCCTTTAAAAATTTTCATCTGATATTTTTTGAAAGTTAGTAGCGTATTCATAAAAAAGGCTCTGCAGAAAAGAGGAATACTTCTGTTTGTACTAAAGCTTCTGTTTACTCCAATTCTCACACATTATAAAATTATTATTAATCTATCTATACTAATATTATAAATGCGAAAGTAACTCAGTCTGTCTGTCTGTCTCTCTTTCACGCCTAAACCACTGACCCTATTTTGATGAAATTTGGCATAGAGATAGTTTTAGTCCCGGGAAAGGACATAGGATAGTTTTTATCCCGGGTTTTGAAAGAGGGACGCGCGCGATAAAGTTTTTCTGTGACAGACAAAATTCCACGCAGGCGAAGCCGCGGGCGGAAAGCTAGTATTCCAATAATTAAGGTTTGATAGGTACTCAAAATGTTTGCGACCCCCTCGCCACATTACAGTCAACATAATCGGTCTTACTTATCTACTCGGCCGAATATCCGAACTTCGCCCGCCTACTAATTAACGCTAGATAATGAGGCAATTAGGTGCCGTTCATCTTAGTATGATGAACGAGCATTCTTCCTGGATCTAATAAACCTGGTGTTAGACTTGATGAGCCGCTAGCTGATACGGTTTGATCAAACTTTGATTGATCCTTCTGTGGTACAGTGCTACAACGAGCTAGTTTGGTTGACAGGTTCTGGGTATTTTTCTGGGAACAATGACATTCTCATTCATTTCTCTTGATTATTTGTGTAATGATATTACTATGTGTTTTGATGATCATGGTGTACACTGTAGAGTCAATAATGATCAATTGCCTGCCAAAAATTACGCGCCCTTCGAAACACAAAATGGCGGTGTTTGCTACCAGGGTATTACTTGTGAGGTATAATTTCTACAATAGAAGAATGTTTATAATTTGTGCCTACAGGAAACTTATTCTTGACGCGTGCGATTCAAACTATGGAATTATACAATTCACCTGCGGATTTTAAATAACTCTTAAGTCATTCATTGAATTTTGTATCCAGTTGTAGAGTCACATGTGTACAGATTATGAATTCTACTAAGTGGAAATCATAATGGAGTCGTAGACAACACAAAAAGTCTCCATAGCTTATTTATTTGCGTGACACACACAAATGAGCTGATTTAAAAAGCTATTTTTTCAAAAAACAAATCTGAAAATCCCATCATTTCTCACCTAGACACGTAATCTATACGATCTGTCCACGATACGACCGCAATTAGCGTGTTGAGACGAAGATTTGCGCGCCACTAAATCTGGCCTGTGTAAACCAACGTATTTCTTTGAAAAGAATTGCGCTAGTGATGTGATGAAATTTTCGTTATTGAGAACCGTGTTTGTGAACCTTGGTATAAAATATTTATAAATCAAAAAAGATGACAAAAAAAATCAAACGTTCAATATTTAATTCGGAAAATCATCCGTCGATTGTCCCTAGCGTAGATTTCGGTAAGATACAAGTCATACAAGTTATTTTTTTACAGGTACCCCTAACTAGTAACTATTCTCTTTTGAAGTATCTTTTTGAAGAAATTATTAATTCATGTTTAAAATGGATGAAAAAGTCGAACGGAAAAAAGTTTTTCACCTTATTTTAGTGATTTCTCAAAAGCTGTCATTTTTTGAAGCTCTGGCGTACCGTAGTAGATACCTAAGTACAAAATATTTTCATCAATGGTGCCTCACAGTAAACTTATTTTTTGCGTTTTTCCATACAAAAATATCCGTTCAACAGTCCAACCTGCACATCCCTACTGTTTTACGCCTGATGATTAGCCAAATGCTAATTAACCTAATGGCGCCGAGTGGGTTTTTACGTGGCTCTAAGACACGCCATTATGTATTTTTATGCACTAAGCAGCGTCACAAAGGGTTAATGCTTGGGTGACGTTAAGGCTTGGTATTTCTGCTAAAGTAGGTATTTCGCGCTGTCAAAATCTGCGCGCGCAATACTTCGCCGAAGACAGCGCGCCAAAGAGCTCTCGCGGCTACACAGTATTGAAATACCAGTTGGTTAGGTTAGGTTGACTTCCTTCCGTTCAAGCGTCACACTCACAGCACTTTCTAATACAAATCATATCCAAGTGATACAAATTAAAACAACTTTCAGAATTTTTGGGAATATATTTTAGAATCGAATAAATATAAAATATAACTGCCAAAGTAAACACGGTTCAAAGAGGCGTGGCGTCACCCGACNTTAAAAATAAAACCATAATTAGAAAACGAATAGAGGTAACTTTGGGAATTTATTCTATCGAGTCAACTTCATCAAATCGTGTTTCCATCCGTTAATAGCCCTAGAAAATATCCTCAACTATGCCCAATAAAAATCTTAGCCTTTAATTTTACTGTTTAGTACCTCAAAAATGAAAAATGAAAACCACATTTTCGCCATTTTCTCTGCTACCCGGCCTTAACGTAATTAAATTAGGAACTAATGTGAGTGAGATTTGAAAGCTGTAGGATGGGATTGTAATTTATGAGCGTCAACGAGCATGTTGATAACATTGCGAGTTAGTAGTAGAAATTATAGTTTTGTACATATTATTATCTGTGAATGTATCAGAGTATCTAAGTGTAAATAGGGTTCATGTTTGTAAAAAAAGGTAAACTTATAACAACTTTAAGTTACAGCTTATAGGATGAAAATCAGTGAAGAGTTGGTACCAAAAAAGGTGGTGTGGCAGTTTACAGGCAGATATTCGC